CAGCTGTAAATGCTGGACCTTAGAAGACCACCTTGGTGGCCAGCTGGTAAGACAAGCTTGGGTGAGTCCTCTCAGCTTCCGTGGGTTTGCAGTCTTCCTCAGAGAGGGTGTGGTGAGAGTGTGCTGCTCCTCTCTGCTGCCCACTTCCCACATTCAGCCACCTTTTGTGGCCTGAGAAGAGCATGCGCTCTCATGAGCAGGGTCTTCCACAGTTTAGAAGTTGAAGGTGGGGCTGTAACACCGGACACTGGAGAAAGAGCTTCATGCTGAGTGCAGAGCCATCCTTGCTGACTCAGAGGTTCTAGCCCTGCCACTGAGAGTGTCACACTTCAGGACATTGGAGTCCCCCTGTGAAACAGGAGCATAAAGGTACACCTCACCAGGCTGTTCTGAAATTTAAAAAGGAAATGAAATGCTTACAGATTGTCAAGCACTGCTCAGTTCTAAAGTGCTCTCTAGAGTGCTGGCATCACGGGGTGCTAGCAAGGTTTGATGAAGTGAAACCATCAAGCCAGAACCTGCTGAATGACGCCAAATGAAACAGGTGGTCTTACCTCACACCTACTTTGTCCCTCTCCTATGTCTTTCTGAGGGGGAAAGTGTATGTAGAATCCCCAAGTGGAAGCCTCTTATTTTCAACAGAGAATGTGATTTTAGAAGCCCAAGACCATACAAAAATGTTAACAGCTGACACTTCTGAGCGCTGGCATATGCTAGACACTGTATGTACCACATCCCTTTTCTCACAGTGACAAATCTTATAATATCCCATAAGAGGTTATTCGTATTTATCTCCATTTACTGACAGAGAAATTTGGTACAGAGAGGTCAAGTAAATTTTGCAAGATTACACAATAAGTTCAGAACTGGGATTCAAACACATGTGGCCCAACTCTAGAGCCTGTCTATTCATCAGCCATTCTCTGCTGCCTCCACGAAATACTTATTGACTGATAATATTCTTGTTATTCCACAAAGATCATATTAGGACCTTGTTTGAGATGATATGTTGAATATGCCTATCCAAAATGCTTGGTACCAGAAGGATTTCAGATTTGGAAGTTTGTTTGGATTTTGGAATATTTACATAGCTTTTCCTGCTTGACCATCCCTAATCCAAAAATATGTACTCCAAATGCTCCAAAATCATGAACTTTCTCCTTGTTTTTGACACAAGACCTTAACTCTGTAGCCTGGCTAGCCTCCAATTTATAATCCTCCTGCCTCAGCTTCCCGTGTGTCACCAGACCCAGCCCAAATCAGGAAGATATAAATATTCAAACAGTTTTGGATTTCAGGGAACCTTAGATTTCTGGTTTTCGTATACCTGGCACTCGGTTTATATTTGTTTGTTGATTCAACTATTTGTCAAACTTTTATTGGTGGGCACTGTGCTATGAAGAAGGCTGTCACACTGCCTGCCCTCACTGGTCTTTGGTGTAGTGGAGAAACAAAGTCGCCAAAGCAGGTGGTCACAATAGAATGTAACATTGTAATTGGGAGATAGATGAAAGAGGTGCTGGATGGGAGCTTTCAGGAGCAATACCACCTCAAACTTAGAATCGCTGGAGAAAGTAACCTCTGTTAGAAACCCATGAACGAATTAGAGTTAGATAAGTAAAGAGACTACAGGGAGACAAAACAAAAAAGCTCCGAGATGAGAAAGCATTAGCAAGGGGTAGCAAGAGGTGAGACCTTGGAGGTGACCAGGATATTTCATGGGCATTGCTTGTTAGCTGGCCAGCAGCTCTGGTCCTCTGCTGATATTTGAACTGAAGTAGCCCCTGCAGTGCTCCTTGGGATCATGTGCTTCTGATGGTAAGCACCCTGTGTTAGCCCTGTCACTTGTGGCACTTGTGGAAATGTGTTAGTGGTCTGATTCTTGCATTAGACGGTTAACTTCTTCAAGTCCAAAACTGCCTTATTCATATTATAGCTACAGAAGCCACCACCATACACCGCTGCTCATTATACTTGTTTGTTGAATGAATGATGGGTTTTCTTTGTAAAATGGATTACACCCTTCTTGCTTTCTTGAGCCAACTATCACTTTTCCTCAGGTTTATCATTATATCCAGCAGTTAATGTCCTATGTGGCAGTTCAGAGATGCCCTCAGGGCCTTTTGAGGTGCTGTGCTCTGAATCCTTTTTCAGCTTTTCACTGTCCTGTTCTTTTCCCTCCTTGCCTGGCCAGTGCTTGATTGTAATCAATCTGGTTGACTCTGAAGTGTCCTCCCCCGCCTGTTTCCTTCTCCTTATCTGTACCAGGCTAGAAACAAGATCCCCTGGCATGATTTGATAACTAAGAGTGAGTAACTAGCATGATTTGTGACTAAGAGTGTGACATCTCTGCTTGAGGTCCTAAAGGGCTCTTATGGGGAAAGTGTGGATGCCGTTCCACTTGGGCCTTGAACATTAGCTGTTCAGAGGCTTTCTTACTTCCTGTTCTTGCTGCCCCAAGGAAGGTCACCCATATATAAATCTGTTGGGGTTGGGGGTAAGAGGTCAGCAGCATGGCCAGACCATCTGGAAGAGAGGAGCTGATTGACCGTTGAGAGCTAGCCTCCACTCTGGCTCTACCAGCTTCATTTTGGCCAAACATTTGAAAGTGTTTCCATGCAAGCTAGCTTACCAGAGCGGCAGCTCTACACCTCAGGCTGTCATCTATAAGGCAAAGCTCCACAGAATGCCTTGTACCTTTGCCTGAGCAGGAAAGGAAGTATGAGCAGGAACCAAGGCTGGGCCACAACATCCAGGCTCTGCTTCTTTCTCCATGCCCTGATTCCTTCATTTGCAAAATGAGGGAAGAACTGTAGGGTTCACACAGTAGACCTGGGTTCTGAGTCTCACCGCGGCTGATTCTGACCTTGAACTCCTGGGCTCAAGCAATCCTCTTACCTCAGCCTCCCAAGTAGCTGGGACTATAGACAGGGGCTACCATACCTAGCTTCTCACACAAACACTTATTAGTCAGGTAACCTCTGAGCTTCAATTTCTTCATCCGTAAAATAGGAATAATAATATCCACTATGTTAAGTAGTTGTAAGAATTAAATAAACAAAATGGATTACTGTTAGGAAAAGGCAGGAACAATCTTCCAGCTTTTAGAATGTTATTTAGATCAGCTCTTCAGTACTGCAGGAGGGGGCACACAGGTCATTCTGAATGCACACGGAAAAAAATGACTTACAACTTGCCTGATGGTTTTGACTACCTAGGCAAGGTCACCCTTTTATTTCATGAGAGGCCAGAGGAGCCTTCCCTTTGCCTGCCTAGTGCCTCAGGGTAGGAGAGAAGTGGCACAGGAGGCAGGACCCAGATTCTGCCCCCAACAAACTCAGCTCAGGAGGAAGCATAAAGACAGTTAGCTACCCAGGTAGTTTCCACATGAGAGGGACAGAAACCTCATCACCCAAGCAGGCTAGAAAATGCCATGTGGGGTCTTGCCTCCCAAGGGAGTCCCAGAGGTGATAGAATCTTCTAGTTTATTATGTAGTCTGGAAATATCTGGATAATTGCATGAGCTAGGACCAGTCTGGTGAGCCAGTATGTGTGGCCACCAACCCAGATACCTTAAAAAGTGATGAACAATTTTGGGTTATTTTGTATCAAATGAGAAAGAATCATCAATATTAGCACTAGAGTAAGCCTAGGAGTTTATGGGATTTTGTCCACATGAAATATCTGTCCTTACCTTCCAAAGACATTTATAGATATTTATTAAGGGTAAAAAAAAAAGCAGATTACAAGGGCTGGGATGGAGCTCAGCCATACAGCGTACGTGCCTGTCATGCACAAGGCTCTGGGTTCAATACCTAGCACTGCAAAAAAAGACAGCAAATTATAAGACTGCAAATACAATACATTCCAGTTTTGTAGGAAGCACAAGCAGATGTGTACAGCATGACATCTAGAAGGACATACATGTTAAATGTACCTCTCAAGTTGCTGCTGTACTCCCTTTTCTTCTTTGAACTTTTCTATAATTTCAAATTTTTCCTTGCTTGGAAGGGTTTTAATACTTTTAATTACTGAATTGTAAAGAGAGCACAGAGGTGTGTGGCTCCTCACACAGAACACCCTCTTGCCCTCTGGTCCTCCCCCTCTCTCTCCTACTCATGCCCCTTCCTTCCCACCTGGACAACTGCTCCTCATCTTTCAGATGCCCATCTTCTGGAACCTGTTCATGTTCAAGCTGAGCCCCACTGTCCTCTGGCTTTCTGTGCCATCCCATTGTATCTCAAACAATGTTCTAAGCATCTTTTTATTTGCCTCTCCTAGCAGATTAGGTCAGGGGCCATACTGATTCATTTCATGTCCCCAAAATGAATCCTGGATGTCAAGAAACATTTTAGGAACTAACTGGATTATTTTACCCCTCTTGCCCAGCACAGATTGCCAAGCACACCGTGTAGGCACTACGTAATGTTTAGAAGTACAGAGATAAGCTAAAATGTCAGGAGAGCTGGGCTTAGGGGTATGCTGGTAACCCTAGCACTCCAGTAGCTGAGGCAGAAGTACCATTGTGAATTTGAGGCCAGCCTGAGGTAAACAGGGAGACCTTACCTCAAAAAAAAAAAATTAAAAAGTCACCAGGCATGGTAGCATAAGCCTTTAACTGAAGTACTCAGGAGACAGAGGCAGGAGGATTTCCTTGGATTCAAGGCCAGCCTGGTCTACATAGCAAATTCTTGCCCAGCCAAGGCTGCATAGTAACACCCTTTCTGTAAATAATTTAAGTAATTCATTAAAATAATCTAAAAATTGAAAAGTCAAAAGAAAGCAGATACAGCTGGACATAGTGACGCACATCTGGAATCTCAGCACATGGGAAGCAGACAGGATCACCAAAAGTTCAAGGCCAGCCTGGGCTATATATAGCCAGACTATCTCAAAAGATGGAAGAGCAAAGTTGGGAATAGGGGGAGACAGAGCATGCTCAGATGAAATTGGTGACTTTCAAATTTGTTGCTAATGGAGAGTTTTTGTTGTTCCTTCAGTCCTAGTCACCAGAGAGGATGACTTTAACAACCGACTGAACAGCCGAGCTAGTTTCAAAGGCTGCACAGCCCTACATTATGCTGTCCTGGCTGATGACTACCACACTGTCAAGGAGCTGCTGGATGGAGGTGAGAGCCGGGGAGAGCGGGGTGGGCTCAGCTGGCAGGGAAGAGTGTTCTAGGCACTTCTAGCACTCTTCTACTCTCCTTGAGCCAGAAGTGCTTCAAGTGGCTGTTCTAAGATGACAGCTGGCATGTGTTGTGTTCTTTGCATCTGGGAGAGCAAGAGAGCAAGGGGAGGAGAGCTACACCAGGCCATGCCTGTCCGTTTGTAACCTGTGCATTTTTTCTTTTTTTTTAATTTGTTTTTATTGAATTTTTTGCGTATTTCATACAGAACATCTCAAACAATCTTAATCATCTTTATACCCCATTGGCACCCTCCCATAGCTTCCCTACTGGAGACAACATACTTGGTCATCCCTGTTAAGGCCCACTGTGTCGTCAGTGTCCCCAGTTGTTCCCCAGTGCAAGACCATCCACTGAGGTCTAGTCAGCCTATCTAGAGTCTCTTGTTTTGGGAAGATCAGCTCTTCTTCACGTAGCAGTGATCAGTTGCCAGTATTTCTTCAGATAAGATTGGGGTCTGCTGTTCATTTTCCTAGCTCTATGCTGGGTTTTTGTCTGAGTTTGCATGGGACTTGTGTATGCTGACACCATTGCCATAGAATCATATGTGCAGGTTCCCAGGAGCTTGTAGGACTCTGTTTCCGTAGGTCATGCGCCTCATCCCTGGCTCTTACAATCTTTCTGTCCACTCCTCCTCCATGGTCCCTGAGCCTTGGGTGAGTGAAGTTTAATAAAGGGGTCCTGTCTGAGGACCAGCATTCAGCAGACTCTTGATCTCTATGCTTTGGCCATTTGTGACCTTTTATGTTCCTGGCCCTCTGCTGCATGAGGGAGCTTCATTATTGAGAACTGAGGGATTCATTAGTGTCCTCTTCTTTGTCCCTGTTCTGTGTTCCATGAGCCTTGGGTGTAGTGGTTGCATTGTACATGTCCCTTAGGCCTGGGCAATTCATAGACAATGTCTGTGTGTGACCAGTTGTGGTACTTGGTAATAGTCTCTCTGACTGGTGCAAAATGAGCCTCTTTGATGAGTGGTGACTGGGATATTTGTCTGTAAATATAAGGATACATATTTGGCACATAGTAAGAAATCACATTAGTCTAGTGATGTGACAATCTTCAGGTTTTCTCTAAGATCTATGACCTCTCCAGCCATTTTTATTTGGTTATGTTTACAGTACTACACTTGAGTTTCCTCCCACTGAGTAGTAGTAGTCTTTTAGTCCAATTAGGTAGTTGTTGATTACCCCCAAGATAAAAATACCACTGTTGCACGAATGATATATGCTATGCTGGTCAATGATGTGGTTATTTGGTCTTGAAGCTGGTGTTGGATCATCCATTGATGTTTTCCTTTAGCACCTTCATAGCGCTCTCCAAAGCTATGAGAGCTGCCTTCAGGGGAAGTGGTTTGAGGTCAGTTGCAGCCCTATTGCTCCAAATCTTGAGTCTAAAGTATGTTCTGTCTTTGGCAGTAGGATCTTACCTTCAAGTTATGGGAGGCCATCAAGAGTGGTGGCAATAACCTGAGTAATTTTAGGAGTCTCTTGGACCACCCTGGCCAACAACTGAAAGGAAGTTTATCTCCTATCTGGCATTGTTTCTTGTTATGTAGCCTTTAGCTATACATGTGGATTTAGGTAGAGGTAATATATGTGTAATTTGTCAGTAGGTTGTTGGACTAATATGGTTCTCTCTGGTTTTTTAAAACCAGCCAGGCATTAAAGTGTCCCCATTTTCCCCATTTCTCCCTTGATAACACCCATCTCCTATGGTCCCACCTCTCTTGAGCTCCTTTTTTTGCATTATCCCCAAGGTTCCTTATATAACCTTCCCTCCCTCCTCCCATTTAAATAACCCCATTTTTATCCATATCTCCCTTATTAACACCTGTTTCCTACTGTTCTTCTCTCTCAGGTTCTTTCTTTCCCTTTACCTCTGTGTATCATTCCATTTTCCTGGCTTCTGTGGTTACATCAGGATATATACTCACATAAAAGTTTTGGTGTTAAGATCCACAAATGAGAGAGAACATATATCACTTCTCTTTCTTTTCATTTTTCTGGTTCCTGTAATTATGTCTGGATACATACTCACTTATAAGGATTTGGTGCTAGGATCCACATATGAGGGAGAACATACGTCGTTTGTTTTTCTGAGTCTGTGTTACTTCACTTAGTATAACAGTTCCTAGTTCCATCCATTTACTTGCAAATTTCATGATTTCATCTTTCTTTACTGCTGAGTAGAACTGAATAGAAACATACCACATTTTCATTAACCACTCATTAGTTGAGGGACACTTTTGTTGCTTCCATCTCCACAATAGCTAAGACCAATGAGTTTTCTTGATTGTTGCTCTTACCCCTGTGACCAGAGCAGGGCCAGGGGGAGCAAGGGAAGTCTGATCAGACCTAGTAACCATGTAACAGAAGTACTGTCCTAGCTCCCAGCCCCACTACCATCTCACTTAGGCCTTCCAATTACTCTAAGCCATTCATTGTTGCTGTCATCAGATTGTTTGGTTTTGTTTGTTGTGTTTAAGTACATCTATAATTGGATCACTCAAGTGGCAGGGGCAGGATTACAAGTTTGAGGCCAGCCTTGGCCTTCATAGTGAGTTCCAGGCCATAGGCTACATGATGAGACTCCATCTTTTAAAAAGAGGAACAACAAAATGGGGGCAAAAAAAGGCCTTCTCCCTCACCTGACTCAGCTCCTTGGCCTTTCAAACCATGCTGGCTTCGTAAGTATCCCCAGTACTTAGCATGGCTCTTGGCCCATAGTAAGTGTTCCATAAATACTTGGTGAATGATGAATACCCTCCCTTTCAAGAAAAAGTATGGGTTTCATTACAGTGACATTATGTGCCAAACTCGGACTGGGCTAGTCCTGTCCAAGTCTCATAGAGTTAGCTGCCAGACACCTTCAGGTCCTTCTCCAGGGTTTATTCTCCTTGGTAACTCAGACCTGGAAGGTTCCTTCAACTCCCGTTGGACCACTCAGATGATTCTCTTCCCTCACTGCAGAAATCTTTCCAGGGTTAGTGGCTATTCCTTTGGGTTCTGTCAGGGACTGAGGGATCCTGCTTCTTCCCTAGGTAGTCAGTTCTCCTTTTACTTCAACAGTGACTGTTGGAAACATTATAACTTCTATCGACTACCTGTTGTTTGCCACCCAATTAATCACTTTTTCAAAATCCAGCCTTCATGGAAAGTTCTTTCTGACCCAGGCATGCCAGGCCCAACATCCCTGATCATCTTCCAATCCATGTGATATCCTTGGCCTGGGGAAACTTCCCAGGAACACCAACCCTGCTACATCCTGTCAGCCACAGGCCCATTGGTTTCATACCCAGGTCTGGCCTCTACCCCCAACCTTCAAGGGACCTGCCCCAAACATAGGTTGGTCTGGAACACATTAACTGTGAAGGACAGGGCTGCTCTGGGGTACTGTACCTGGGATGATTGATACTTCTGGAGTGAGGACTCACTGCTCTCAGAAGCAGGGGCTTAGAAAATCCTCAAGCAGGCTGATTTTTTTTTTTATGCTGTCCTTTAGAAAGCTCTCCACCAAGACTACGGTAGCTAAGAATCAGAGCATGCACCATGGGGTTTTTCTCTGCTGTGCCTTAAAATCAATATTCCCAGTCATTGTCTCCTGGTTCATATCCCTGCATCCCCCAACCACCAAACGGATAGAGTTCACTCTACAAGGAGCCCTCCACACTCCCTTTCCAGATCGAACACCTTTGAAATGAAGAGGCGAGGGCCTTTTATGAGGCTCCCTCCACCCTCACCCCCCAGGCCAAGGCTGGCCCTTTGAGCCGTTCCAGGGGCATGCTTCCTGCCTGGTGACTTGGAACAGATGCCCTGAGCCCCCACCTTTGCATTTCTCCCACCTGCCTTTTTAGTCAGCATCCATTTATACCCCCTGCCCCAGCTTCCCAGCCTCCAGGGCCAAAACCATTAGCCCACTTGTTTCTCTCTCCCAGGCCTAAACAAGTCGCTGTCACTCAGGGCCTGCAGGCCTGCCATCTTCTGACCTCCCTCCCCTCCTTGACCTCCCTTGGTCTGCCAGTGTGTGTGACCAGCCAACCGAGAGTCAGGATCCTGCTCCCTTGTCCTAGGGGCTGTTGCCTGTAACATTTCCAAAGTCTTTTGACCTCAGCTGACCTTTTCCAAAGGGTCTGCTTTCCTGCCCATCAACTTTTTCATCTTGCCCTGGCCACCAGCTTTGCTGCAGCAACTTGGAGGGAGGATCTCTCTATAAGACCCAAGGCAGGCTTAGGGTGCAGCAATGATAGTATAGTGGTAAGCATAGCTGCCTTCTAAGGCAGGCCTAGGCATAAAGGCCAGTCTGTGCTCATAGGGACCAGAGGGATTTAGGTTCCTGGATCTAAGAAGGTTGGAGCTAGAGGGAACAGCCACTCTTGCTCTCTAACAAGAAGTCCTTATCTGAGCTGTGAAGCAGCATCAAGCTGATGATGTGAAGACCCTCCAGCCTGTAGGAGGCAGAATGGAGTAGTAGAAAAGGCACCCTGGCTTTAGAGTGAGCAACCCAGGTTGGAATCCCAGCTTCTCCTGTACTAGCTGGATTACCTTGGACAGGTTACCTTAGCTCTCTCAACCTTGGCTTTCTTTTTTTTTTTTTCTTTTTTGACTTTCTTATTTTTATATTATGTGTATGAGTATTGGCTACATGTGTATAAGTGCACTCATGTCATGCAATGCCCATGGAGGACAGAAGAGGGTGTTGGCACCCCGGAACTGAGTTGCAAACAGTTGCTAGCCACTATGTGGGTGCTGAGATTTGAACGTGGGTCTTCTGCAAGAGCAGCCAGTACTTTTAACCACTGACCCATCTCTCCAGTCCCAGCCTTGGTTTTCTTATCTGTAAGAGGGCTGGAGCAGGTGTAGGTGTCAAAACCCCCAGCACACACATGGAAGATGCTCCATAACAAGTAGTTATTGGAGTATATTCGTTGTGCATAGTAATGG